GAAACAGTTAACTCGTAGTTTTCCGGTCAAATATTCAGTAATCAATGTTTTTAATGAAAAGAACTATTCCGTGAACCTGTATGTCCGAACTAACACTATCCCCTTCCTGCTGACAATATTGTCCAAGTAACGAACCAATTAAAAGCCCATATGAATTTGGTTCGCATAGTGGGTTCACGCTGATGATCTAACACACGATTACTAGTGAACCAATACGCTGCAAGTTATCTCTGTTGCCGAAGATAAAGTTCATACGCAACCTTTGGACCAAATTTATTGAGCACCTTTCCTTAACACCAAATTTCGCGTGTGACAGAGTAATTTGACAGGTATGGTCGAGCTGCCTGAATTCATGGATTTGTGGACGAAGGCTAAGGGCTGGAAGGTGAGTAAACCATTCCCCGTTCTGTATCCGTGTTTCGAAATAACTTTTCGTGTATTGTTGTTTGTTTCACCTCGCGTCATAGCGCTCTATTCAGTGTCGTTCTTACATATTGTTTTGAACAAACCGTCCACAGGATTTTTTATTAATGCTATTTAACAATGCCGGAAATTCTTTTCGTGGCATTTAATTCCCTCTGCCGCAGCGATATGATATTTGATCGAAACACATGAACATATAGCACAGAACAGTGGTTAGAATTACATAATCCTCACGTTTCCAGTTAGTGATTGGATTGTTCTTCTTATGGTGAACCAGTTTATGGTTCATTTGTCAGTTCTTGGTTGGTTTGCTTTCGGGACGAATGGCACCTCCGGATTCGGCTGTTAGTGCGTTCATCAAATCGGTAAAGTAGAAACATAACAGCTATAATAATGTACTAATTGACGGAATGGATCTTGACTGACTCGGTTACAGACTCCCTTGGCAATCATCTGTTGATTCAGTCAACCAAACAATCGTGAAGCGCTAGATTCGATTCTCACTGCCGTCAGAGTTTACGTGGGAACGAAAATCCTGTTCACTCATATGGAAAGCTTAGGTGAGAACGTTATACTGTGTAGTTCACACCGGAGCGTTGACAGTTCGCCAACTGCAGTACAACTGACCTCGTTTCGTTCTTTGTTGTTTCACATCTCAGACCACTTGTGTGACCTCCCGAGAAAATCTTTTCCAGCACATGGTGCAATAAATTTCCTATCTTCATTCGAAGTTCCATGGTTAGATATTCTTAATCAATCCACCATTAAATGAAAACGATGGTTCAAGAATACGCTGTAACACGTCCAACTCCAATCAAACTATAGTATGTGTTTCTCTTGCTATTCAGTATCAAACTGTCACGATTACCATGGACTATGAGTGCTCAAAGAAGCGATGCATTAAACCAAAAAAACCCTAACTGTATTTTGCTCCAATTCCTGCTTTTTGGGCGCTATACTGCTAGGTTGTCCAAGCAGGCGGATTTTGGGGAGGAAGATTTCATCGTCTGGAGTCTTTGACTGACCTTAAGGCAGTTGGACAGTGTGCGAAAACCGTATTCCATCGGGAGCCAGTGTCCAGTTCATCTGACCATACGCCCTTTGGACGGACGCATTAACTGACTGTTATCTACTGGAACAAGTGGTCGGCCTCCGTAAACTACGGTGATTGGGACGTGTTGTGCGTGTCACCAAATAGGTTGCTACGACACGCGATGTTTGCCCAGGCAGATGTTGTATGGAAAAAAGTCATTGATGGTCAAAATAATACCTAGAATGAGGGTAAAAAAACCGAAACCATAAAACTCGGTCATATTAAGTCGCATTAGGCCCCTTGGATGAGAACTCCGAGATCATGGAAGCTGGTGGTTAGAGACACTGAGTGATATGGTCGGGTGTCTCACACAGTGGCGCTCGTACATCTACTCAAAATTCTTGCAACCCCTGTCTATGTGAATTCGCTATCTTCTCTTCGACTCTGTTCCACGCATTCCCATCTTCATTCTGCTCTTTCATTCAACTGGGCGGCCAAAGGCCAAAGGCCAGTAACCAAAACCAGCGCATGGAAATACATGGTTATTGGTTGTAAAAACTTAAACTGATTCAGGGCGATTTATGAACAAACTCCATTCGATTATTCCGAGCGGCCCCAATGCGAGCTGGTTGAAGAAGTGGCATCTCGCGCGCATGTAGGGAGCAGGACTGGAAATCCGGTAGCCCTGGACGAACCGATAGATATGAACCATCGATGAGTTCATGAAAGTGAAAGATAAATACAATTTTATAGTGCACCCCGAGTGTGTATAGTTGACTGAAGGATGTTCAATAAAAATCAATAACACTTATCCTGCATCACTGTTAACGTGCAACTACAAGTTGAAACTGAAACTCGGATTGATTATCAACGCCGAGGCATGCTGTCTGCGGAGTTCCACGATCCATTCAGAAATCGTTGTGTTCAGTCTCGTGATAAGTTCAAAAACATGTAGACTGAATTCAGTTCATTGCTTCCCAGGACCAGAGGGTTCAAGTCCCTCCGGTGACTATTGCCCCCGGACTTTGGGGATTGTTTTCTGCAGTTTAATATGATTCGTGATTGTCTTTTATCGCAAAACTCATCCCTTAACCGATCGTAAGACCAGCAGTATGGAAAAAAGTTAAGTAGGGGAAAAATATACATTTGTTTTCTTTCCCAGTCGCTTCACTGGTGAAAGGGTTCGCTTGATCCTCATTAAAGAATGGCCTATAGTGAAAAATATGACACTATTGATCATCGCTTTGAAGAGTTACATTCCCCGGGTGGATTAAAAAAACTGGATTAGGTCTCGAAACATTCCCTCATGTGTTTTCTACGCATTTATAACCAAATTCAATATACATGTGCATATTATTTTGATTCTAAGTATATAAAACACGTAAATCCCTTTCAGATGATCTTCCTGAAACACGACACAGACGGTAGTGGATTCTTCCGTGCTCATGAGTTCCGAGAGGCCCTCACGACAGCTGGTGAGTTCGACATCCTATTTCGATTTGAAATACTCGTCCTACTCACAAATAGTGAAATTAGTGCTTCATGAAGGAAAGGATAGATATGAGATCTTTCGTGATTCCCAATGAAGTAATAGTAATTGAAGATATCCCTACACCAATTTAACAAGTCTTGTCAATAGATGAACGGCAGTTTTCGGACTGCAACCAAGAAGAACCTCCGAAGCGACGAACCTGTCTAATTGACAATCGTGCTATCGATCACTGAACTGTGAAGCACAATCACGCTCATGGCTAATCCTATTCCGGACGCGTCATACGCAAACACACGCGTTTCACGTGAGGGATAGAGAAGGCGGAAGAGTTCCGAATTTTGATCAAACTCGTGTTCCACTTATGGTGCAAGCCCTTTGCTATCCAGACACATCAATGAATTTCGAAAGTTTAGCGGGACAGGTGTCATTTAACCGAGATGAATAAGAACTGCCTTTTGATTCGGAGAAAAATGTCCCGGGGAACCCTGAAATTAGATTTCTGCGATGAGAAGGTTGGGTATGGTCACTGTTGTGCGGTCAAGCGCATTTGTTGGATAACACTTGTGTAAATTGCTCCTACTGAACGAGCAACATCAATGCTCAATGTACACACAGGCATTTAAACATATACGCACATGACATGGACGTCTTTCACATGAGACTTTGATTACGATGACCAATTAAACTGTCCCACATGTATGCTTGTTATTTATTGGCTGACTGCTGATGACTTGTACGGCCAGATGACATGCTTCTGTCATTGTACATGAATTATGATGCTGCTGGTTTCTGCCTAATTAAAAGGATTCACTTCCGTGCTTATTACGAATTTCATTCAATACAACAGTAACTAAGCTAGATATCGACTTCAGAGTCCATTCAGTTTTCTGGTTTAATAATCATTTGGTCACCGAGTTCAAGCCTAATGTTTTCTAACTAATGACCTATGGCCATGTCCCCGAAATAAATGGTAGTCCTATTTCGTCCATGTGGCTGATTGAACCTTCCCATGCAGTCAATTTTGTTCGTGCACTGATTCTGGCAACAGCGCCCTTAGTGTGTAGACTACGTCAATTCGTCGTGAACTACTCATTTGATCCCTATGATCTCTTCTATTCAGATTTTTTAACATTATTTGAACAATTGTGTACCTAGTGAAAGGAAGCAAGAAAATATTCGCTATTCCCAATTTCATAAATTGGTATCATAGTCAATTTCGTACAATCGAACTAGCATCTTTCAGTACAAAAGCTTCACAGTCTATCAATTCCAATTTGAGTGCGGAGACACTTACATAGGCAGAACAGAAAGGCAATTATGTATCGGGTCTTAGAACACATTCCGAACCTAAGGTTGTCATGGCAAAGTCCACACCGCTATTAACTGGTAAGGTCCGTGCTTACAAACCACCAAGCTCTTCGACTGCCAAACACTTGTTGCTGATGCAACAACACGTGGATCGCGTGAAAACATTTCGAGTGATTTTTACCAATGACAACACCAGAATTATCAAGATCGTCGAGACGGTTGCAATCAAGCGCTGGAAACCAATTATGTGTCAACAAAAAGATTGTTCATCACCTTGGCTTTACCTTAGTGACGTTTCCCCCATTTGCAAGTGTCTATTTTGTAATCCTATATAGATCTCTGCATAAACAGTGTATTTGTCTGCAGTACGCACCAGTTGAGATGCAGCGAAATCGTCCAGGACATAAATTGTGCTACTCTTTTCAAATTTATCACAGGAAAAGCTTGTTTCAACTTCACAACAATTATCTCAAGTTCTTTTTTCATCTGGTCTTAAAAACAACAACAAAAATCAGATTCATACCATAACGGTTCTTTGATACCAATTCCGTCACCATGGGCTGTCTCATTCCAAAAATGATACGTTCTACTAAATTACATAGTCCAGTGATGATTACTTCATTTCACGCTGACTGCGGCATATATTAGTCAAATTCAGTTGGTACTTTATTCACCAGACTGTACATGTTAAACCGCAAATTCTCCACGCGTTTAACTCACCGATTACTAACACAATACTGTTGTGACCATTTAATTTTCCCCTAAACAGGTTACAATGTGAGCAACAAATTGTTCAATGCTTTGGTCCATCGTTATCAGGATCCTGACACAGAACGCATGTGTTTCGAAGACTTCATGCTCTGCTCTATCCGACTGAAGAATATGTTTGACAATGCGGCAGCGCAGCCCAAGAATACCGAAGGCGAAGCAATATTCAGCAAGGAAGATGTAAGTTAAAAGTGGACTGAGGAACTGCTGTTTCCTGTTTTGGGGTTCCCTTTAGTCGGCTGAAAATGACTGATGATGCGTTTCACCCTATGCACAGGGATCAACAGTTCCCGCTTGGCATTTGGTTCTTCCTCTTCCACCTGATCACGGAGGATCGATATGATCGATCAGATATGGACCATCATGACAGTTTTTGCTGACATCGTGTTGGTTCCCGAGGATTCGGAGCGCCTAAATTGAGCTGGGACTTTTACTATACAAACTTATTTCCAGTTAAGGGTAGACAAATTGGAATTTTTTTGGAGACATTGTGAATTTATCACTCCACTTTTATTAGTCAAACAAAAATAACACTCAAATCAAAAGCATTGACTGTTACCAGGGGACAAATTAGTTGAAATGATAAAGGATAGAGAGCTACAAAATACCGATTACCAACCATTGAATTGCTTACTACATTCATCCGTTACCATCAACTTGTCGAGTAAAACCCGAAATGGTGCTGGGAAATCACGAACAAAGTTTATAAGACAGCGAATAAGTGTGAATTGACGATCGCCAAGGCGTTGACCACAAAACAATAAATCTCAATCATCGATAATCAATCTTCTTTTAGGATTTCATCGACCCCTACTGAGACACTCACGGCAACCGAACGATATTCGGTCAGTTATTCATCATACATTCGAACAGATGTACCGCTTTTTAGCAATATCGAATATTTGCAAAAAACACTAAAGTTTGTTAACATATCACAATAAACTACGTTTTCAGTTGAAAGTTGTATTTGAATTCCCGCGTTTGAGCGTCACAGACGATGATAGCTCTTGAAGGGTAAACCACTAGCACATCCAGTTAGGAAGTACGCTGTCCAACCAATGCTTGGGTTCAAAGTGCATCTATTGCCGCCAATCATGAGTAGATGCAATCTGAACACAGGCTGATAGAGGAGCCAACGAGTATCTCTGCACTTTTCACATTAACCCTACTCATATTATTCTATTTTACGTTTCCGATTTCCCCCTTTACAGTACCTACGTTTCGGTGTATACGTCTAAAGAACAAAGCGATCCTTCAGCTCCAGTCATTCCGGCCAGTTCAAAGAACCAAAAATAAACTTCCGTGTTCCTGCTCCCCAATGCACACACACACTAAACTAGAATGTTATTTAGTCCAAATGACGTGCCTTTTCTCTCT